GAGTTGAGTGGTATTGATAAATTATGGTTTGGGTTTTATATAGTACCTGATTTTTTAATAATATGATCCTTTAATTTTGAATTTCAATCTTCAAACACCTGGAATTACGTAATTTCCTCATCATATTAAGCAATTGGGTCAAAAACTCGTAATTTGCAGCAATCCCAATATCCATTTATAAACACAAATAATTAATTGGGCTTGTAGGCAATGTTAAGCTACCAATATTAGCACAACGTAAAATGTTTTAACATATTCATCATTGTCACGACAGATAAATTGTGAAATAATATTAAGAAAAAGATAGGGTCGTACCTGTGTTTTGCGAGGTCTGAGGCGAACGTCAAATTTGGGCTTCTAAATTGTAGCAAGTAATCAATTTTTTTCATTTATAAAATTTTTATGGAACTAAATTTTTTTAACGTAAAATCAACAATAAAACAAAATATAAAGTTAAATATTCAAACTCTTTATATTACAATCAAATAATAATGCAGACCGTTCTAAATAATCTCTTAAATATTGTGATGATTCGAAACGTCTAAATTGACTATTTTTGGGAAACAAGATACCATCAACTCCTTGTGAACTCGTTTCAACTAAAAAGTTCCTCATCTTTTGATCAATGTGAATGTTCTTCCAATTTTCAGGATCATCAAAATTCAAAGAAAAGTATCTCTCTTGATTTAAATTTTTATGTTGAATGTTATCTTCATTATTCTGCTTTGAATCATTGACGTGTCATGTTTAACCATGTCCTTGTCCTTTTCTTTTCTTGCCATTAAAAGTATTTATCCATATGGTTTCGAATTAATGCCTTTACTCTTTATCTCTTCTTTTTTTTGAAGCACATTTAACAGTCATGGTATATTGGTATTTGACTCAACAGTAAACACTAAATGAAATTTAAGTTAAAAAGGGGTTCAAATTAGTTCCAAAAAAAAGTTGCTGTGATTTGAATATATGATTTGAATATATGATTCGTTCAAAAAAAAAAAATGTCGAAGGGTAAACCTTCACTGTAGTTCTGTCACTGCGCTCTACTTCTCACCTCTGCAGGTAATTTTCTCGGCGGCTCAGCCGCTCTTCTTGCCATAACAACACAGAAAGAGAATCGAATAATTTCTTGAATCATAAGACTCTTTTCTTCTTGCTCATGGTTTCTGTGATTTAAGAAAAAAATAATATATTTTTCTGACGGGTTACAACTATAAAATCACATAATAGGTGAATAATGCGAAATTAAATATATCAATTAATAACAAAAAGTCATCTTTTAATTGTTCTAGATGTTTAATCAATCAAGTCCAGTTATCATATGTTGAATTGCCGCAATAAATAATTAAAGCAGTAAATAATACAAGATTTGATGACGGTGAAAACCCTTAATTGGGTAAAAGTTCCGGGACTTAGCCAGTAGTTACCACTGTAGACAATAAGAATTTATAGTAAAATCAAGCCTAGAAAACTCACTAGACTTGCTGATCTAATTCCTACAATATTCAAGACCCGCTGGAAAGTGCTTTAGTCACACTTACTCCTGATCTTCTGAATTTTGTCTATGTCCCGTGGAACACTAAGAATGCCTCATTCTTGTACTCTTCCTGTGCTTCTGGTTCAACTTCCCTCAATTTTCAACAACTTTTGAAAGCTATAGGGAAAGTATATTCATAATGATATCTAGAAAGTGAATGTTTTAGATTATAAGATATTGATATTTTTCCCAAACTTGTGATTGATTGATCTCAAAAATCAAAAGGTTAATCTAGATTGTTGAATGTGTTCTTGAATTTTGGAATAATGTTATGAAAATGTAAATAATAATCAACCACCACAAAAAAGTACTGGGTATTGGGTCTTTATAAAAAGAGTTTAGGTAATATATGATAGATAAAACTCTTGAAAAACGTAAATTATGATTATGATTATCGGACAACACCGTCGCTCGAGCGCCATGTGAGCGAGAGGTGCGTCTCTCGAGCGACGGCGGGCGACAATGATTCTGCTCTTGCATTTCTTGAAACTTATTTTCTAAAATCAATAACTCAAATACCAAGTACAAAAGAACGTGATACAAAAAATATGGAATGAAATATAATAACTGAAACAAAATATTATATGCTAGCTAGATTGAGAAGCAATGCTAATGTTAATTAAAACATTAAGTGAAACATTAATATCACAAAATATCAAAACTCAAAAAAGTTAAGCATTAAAAAAATCATCTCCTATTAAAAAAAAAATCTCCCCCTTACTACAGAATAAACTAAAATTAAATGCATCCCATCATCATCTCTCCCCCTTTTTGTCACAAATGACGAAGACAACAGCAATATATAATAACTCAAAGATGAGGTTGAGCATGCACAAGTATATGTTGGAATTAATTGAATTGAAGTGTATTAAATCATTAAATGTGATATTTAATTATGTGGGCCATTACAATTAGTTTGGGTGAATTGGAAATATCTTCAATATAGGCCCATAAGTTGATATTTCGACGACTCTTTCTTCTTGTTCCTACTCGAATCCAAATACTTATAATTCATCTATACAACCCTCCAAAAGATTTCTTGACTTTTACAACTCTTTTATAACAATCCTATTCTTTTACAATAATCCTTTTGTCTAAAAAATTGCCAATACAACTACAAACCTAACATAATAGAAATGAGAAATTGTACCAATTTTAGAGTTTTTGGCTAGAGAAAAGATGAAAGATTGAGACCCCGTGCACTAGACAAAAACTTAGAGGAAAGACTTTAACTAGGGCTAAGAAGTGGCTTTAAAAAAATTATTTTTTTGGGTCTCCTACATAGTTGGGCACGAGGCGACTGCCTCTTGGACCTCACCTTAGGCCTGACTCTTAAAAAATGATCGGGTAAACTTCTAAAATGATGTGCGACACCATCATGTGCAGTATATATCACATTTATAATGTTGTCACCTCCCTAGCCATCCTTCAATTATTGTTAGTGACCCCATTGTACATCAAATTGCTTGACCAATGTATTTGGCACATTTTTTCTCTTTTCCTTTTCCTCATATGCATTTGATGTCCTTATAGTACTAGCTTTTTGACAAATTAATAATAACCAAGATTTTGTTTGACCTCAGCTTTTGCAATTTGATATTACATACGATGCCTATTAAGCTTTGTTCGATGGCCATTCTTAAAAAACAAAAAGAAAAAGGTTTTGAATAGTGATTTAGGAAAATATGTGATTAAAAAGTATGAAAAAGTTGAATTCACGTACAAATTATTTTATTGTATGAATATGTGGTTGAAAATGATCCTGTAAAAAAAAAAAAAAGAATTTGAAAAAAAATAGAAATCAAATAGGTGCCAAGACGTGGATATCAGGGTTGGGCATTTTGTTGTCGCACACATTTATTGCTTCATACTTATTTGGAATCATAGTGACTTTAAGTTTAATTTTTAGATCATGTTAACTAATATAAATTACCATACTTAAAAGCTAAAATCTTAAAATTACAAATTGTAATTCTGAGTGGACACATTATATTACACTTCCTTCTTAGTGTATTATGTTCTTTAATTAGTCCTCTAATTTGTACGTTTTTTGTACTTTACCACGCTCTTGATATCAAATTTTCGCTCTAGTCTAATAATGTAATTTTTTTTCTCTCGAATTCTTCAACTAGACAAAAGTATTAAAGACGTGTAAACTTAAATTTCATGAAAGAATAAGAATTACTAGACTAATATAAAAAAAATAGGTAGAACAATAAAATTTATATACCCTTTCAACTTACTACTATTTCCTTAAGAATTCCGTAGTCATTCATGAAGAATCACTAAGAATTCTCGAGTCGTTCCAAAATCTTCATGCTTTGCTCAATTGCTACATAATCTATCCTACCTAGGGGTGTAAAGGAGGATCAAATTGTTCGGATGGTCTCACGCTTGTTGAAAATGTGTTGTAGTTTGACCCGTGCAGAGAAACGAGTCTTTATATATATATATATATATATTGTGATTAAGATCTCAAATTTTCAACGGACCAACTCGTTACTAATATCAAAATTTGTGGACCGACCTCAAGAGTGGTTGTGTCCAAGTACAATGTATTGTTGTTCCACCTCAAAATATGATACGTACAAAACAAACCTAACACCATGATTTCACATGTCACCACAAACACAATAATCACACTAGACCGACCTTGGGCCCCACCATTGGCATGAACAATCCGGAAATAAATAATTATTATTTCAAATTCAAAATATCCCTTTGGTAAAAAATTCAAGAATCCAGATTACATTTTCTTCAAAGGGGCCCCTGTAATCTGTGGTCTCTCTATATTACTGCACACAGGAATATATTCATTATCATTTTCGTCCTGTTTCTCTTTCTTTCATCTATATATATACACGCATACATCTGCTTACTCCTGGTTTAAATAATCAAAGATCCAATCTTTTTGTTTCCAAGGTAATTTCTACTCTGGGTTAATTGGTTTCGCATTTATTTTGTTGATTTTTTTTTTTATGGGTTTTTATGAACATATGTCATCTGGGCGATGATTTTTTTGGTTTAATTTATATCGGTTTGATTCGTTTTGGTGTGATTTGTGGCTGATTAATCATTTTGTTGTATTTTCTGCAGATTTGAGCTAAAATTGGGTTATTGACAGATTCGTTTGAGGTTTACATTTTGAATGGTCAGGAATAAGAAATCTGAGATTTTCATTGAATTTCGTTTTGGGAGATGTCGATTTTGCACAAAAGCGATTCCATACAGATCCGGGAGGTTTGGGCCGACAATTTGGATCGAGAGTTTTCTTTGATTCGTGGAATCGTCGATGATTACCCTTACATTGCTATGGATACGGAATTCCCGGGCGTTGTGCTTCGACCAGTGGGCAATTTCAAGAACCCAAATGATTATCATTTCCAGACATTGAAAGACAATGTGGATATGTTGAATCTGATCCAATTGGGGTTCACCTTTTCGGATGATAAGGGGAATTTGCCCACCTGTGGGTCTGATAAGTGTTGTGTTTGGCAATTCAACTTCCGCGAATTCAATCCCAATGAGGATGTCTTTGCAAATGATTCAATTGAGTTATTGCGCCAGTGTGGCATCGATTTTGTGAAGAATAATGAGAAGGGTATTGATGCCAAGCACTTTGGCGAGCTTCTAATGTCTTCGGGAATTGTTTTGAATGATGATGTGTATTGGGTGACTTTTCATAGCGGGTACGATTTTGGGTACTTGCTGAAGTTGTTGACTTGTAAGAAGTTGCCTGATACGCAGGAGGGTTTCTTTAAGTTGATCAATATGTACTTTCCAAAGCTTTATGATATCAAGCATTTGATGAAGTTCTGTAACAGCCTGCATGGTGGTTTGAACAAGCTAGCCGAGTTGTTGGAGGTGGAGAGAGTTGGAATTAGCCATCAGGCGGGTTCGGATAGCTTGCTCACTGCTTGTACATTCAAGAAGTTGAAGGAGAATTTCTTTAGTTCTTCACTAGAGAAGTATTCTGGTGTGTTGTATGGTCTAGGTGCTGAAAATTGACATGTGACTTCTTGAGGACAGTTAAAAGAACTAAATTAAAAAAAAAAGCCTATAAGAAATGTGAGTAATTAGGTGTTAGTCGAACTACATTTGTGTGTGTATGGTGATTATGATGCCACACTTATATGTACCCTCTTTAAAGTTAAAGAAAGCTGTTTATTCAATGAAATTTTATTGTTGATGTTTCAATTATCTGTCTCTGTATCTTCCTCCTCACATTTGGTGAACTATGCTGCTTAACAATGTTTACGGTTCGGTTCTTTTGGTAAACTACTAACAGTTTTGGCAATGCTTCGTCACATTGTGCTTCGCTGCTAGATAAATCACTAAAGAGGGACTCGAGTTTCATTCTTCTCTGTGTTTGAGTTTGCAGTTTTTGTTCAAAAATAACTACCTCTTCCAGCTTTTGTTTACAGGTTTGTTTCCGTTTCTACCTTTCTTTGTCTCGGATTCAGGTTGGCCTTATAATCAGGCACCATTTAATCATGTTACGTTTATGTTTTATAATATTCCTGAATGGAACTATGTTAAGCCTTACGACCGCGCTCCTCGTTCAGGCCAGTTCAAACAGAGTAAAAGGCAGGTTGACGTTGAATTGCCTTTAAAAAAAAAAAACTGAAAAAGCAGAACAAAACACAAATTATTACTCTCTCTCCACAAACCAAAATCGACCCCCAAATTCCAAACCCTAAGCACAGCTCACAATCTGAGAATCGCCAAACGGGAGCCCCAAATTCCTATCCCTAATCACAACTCACCATCTCCGGCCACACTTCCAGTCGGGGTAACGCCGTGCCACACCATCATCAAAGGTTTCGCCATTCAAACAACCTACCAAATTCAGTCGCCGTCAAAGCCCACACCATCTCCGAAAGCAATTATCAACGGAGTATCGCCGCGCCGTGCCGCGCCTTGCCTTCGTGAAAGGTTTCGAAGTCGCCTCGTCGTCGGAAGCTTTTCCCAAGAAATTACCATCATCGCTTCACCCGTCCGCGTGTACTCTGTACCGGTTTCCAACTAACTCAGCACAAATACATATACGTTAATCATTTTTCAGCTGTGCTCAGGTAGTATGTTGTCTATTTCATCATAAAGTAATTTCCAGCGAGATGTTGTGTGTTGAAATGGGGCAACATGCCATTTTATTAGTGGGGATTTTATTTTTTTAATGAATTTGGATTACTTGCATTCTTAAATTTCGAAATATAGTTGCAAATAGCTTATCTAGGTTGGGCATTTGCAACAATTCTCAATTTTCGAACTACGTTGAATTGGTATGAAACTGACTTCACCTTTGTTGTCGATGGTTGATGCCCATCTTACAATGCCAGGAAGGAACTCTGGAATTTGTCATGGTTGTAGAGCTAAAGATCACTTCTTTGCCGATTGCAAAAGGAAATGCCCTTGCACACAATGTAAGCATGGATTTGAGAAATGTTTTGTAGTGGAGAAGGAGAATAAAAACAAAGGAAAATTATTCCCTTGCTACAGTAACAATTGTGGATTTTTGGAGTGGGTTGAAAAGGAAGAATCAAGCAGTCCATATAGACGCTGTAGCGCAAACTCGATTAACCCTGCGAAGAATGAAACAGTTGAAGAAATGTCCCATATGTTCCAGTCTCGAGTTCAAGTAAGTTACAAGGAAGAGCTATAGATTTCAGCGAACGTCGGGATTTGGACTGAAAAAATAAGCGCACAAGTGAATGCAAAAGGGAAGCAGCCAGCTTGATTAGTATATAGTGATCGAACGGGTTATTTTAGAAACGTTTCTATTTATATGACGAATATGGCAGAAAAACCCAATGTAATGTTATTTTCCGTATGAACTCTTGCGAGTTGCGACTGCATTTTGTTATTTGCAGCTTGGCATTTTCTGTTTCGTTAATGAGGCTAACATTTTTATAATAGCTTGTTTGTTATGTCAATAATTCTATCATTTGAGAGTTTGCTATAGTGACCGGTAGGTAAGACGAGATGTTAACAATTCTTTTCTTCAAAAAGGTTGTAGATCAGTGTCAGAGTTATTCCAAAAGCAAGGAACCCAACGTCCGCTGTTCTCGTACAATCCCGATAGCCAATCATTGCCATGCAACCCATACGTATGAATCATCGTTCTCCAACCGTCTTCAAATTATTCACTAGATTGCGAATCATATACCAATCCATGCATAGCCACAAATATTGAACCTTTATCCACGTGGTAGCCAAACTTCTTCAAAATGTGCCACAAACACCATCTATACTTTGTATTTGGAAAAACAATCTAAGGGTGTGTTTGATAGGCTGGAAAATG